CAGTTGGACTGAGGGAGGTACAGTATCTGGGGTACCACTTGGGAGGCAGGCCGGTGCATCCACAGGCGGAGAAGACAGCCACCACTGGATCCTGCCCGTGCCCCAAGACCAAAAAGGAGGTGAGGTGGTTCCTGGGGCTGGCTGGGTACTATCGCCAGTTTGTGTTTGTGTCCGAGATCTGGCTCAGCGGTGCGTTTGTGCAGTTGAAAAAGGCTCTCTGTGGGGAGCTGCTGCTCAACACACGTAACTTTTGCCTCACGTTCATCCTGCAGACAGATGCCTCAAACAGAGGGCTCCGGCCAGATGCGGCCCAAGCCTCAGTCGGGCAGTGGGTCAGTGTGGCAGGGGTGTGGCCTTTGGCTCTGCTGCAGTGTAGGAGTGGTGGGGGAGGGAGGCTGAGGGCCAGGTGGAGGCAGTCAGACTGATGAACTCTCTTCCCTTTTTAGTGTCGCCAGAGATTGGAGACAAGAAAGAGTGCCAGAGATATTTGGTCGAACCATTTTGTGCAAAAGTTTGTGTGTCTGAATTAAATGAAAACAGCCAATTAACGCCATGCCGGGTCTGAATCGTTCACACCATGCAGTGCAGCAAAGAATGCTCAGACCTCTACAATGGAGAAACCAAACAGCTGCTCCATAAACGTATGGCAGGACATAGAAGAGCCACCTCTGACAGGACAAGAGTCAGCTGTACATCTGCACTGAAAAGATACAGGCGAGGATGCTAATGTTCACATTCTGGACCAGATGGTTTAAAAGAGGAGAAAGAGAGGCCATCTATGTTGTTGTAAGCCACCTCCTCTGTTGGACGACAGTCACTGAGGTGGGTGGCTGACAGTTGGTGTCATTACCCACCCTTCTGTGGGTAATGACACCAACTGTCAGCCACCTACGGTGCAGTCTTCAGATCCTTTCATCAGGCCTGCAGCTTACCTTGAAAGAGTTTGCAGCCAAGTATGAAGAGGCAGGAATGAGAATTAGCAATGCATCAAGATAGTTACTGTTGAGCTTCTTAAAATTGGGAGATACGTATTAGAAATGGCAGTAATTACTTCACAGTTAATGCAGCACTTCTGTTAAATCCCACGAATGAACGGTGAAAGCCTGCACTTCAAAAACATCTGGATTGTTTGATTTAAAATCGTCTTTCTTCGTATGCAGAGGCAAAAAAAATTTTTCTGTCATTTAATGGTCGGGCATTGCGCAGCTACAAGCATTTCACCCCGATGTCATACTGTGTATGGTTGTGTGTGTGTGTGACAAATAAAATTTGAATTTGAAAAAAAATTTGAAAATTACTAAAAGAATTGCTTCATTGTCCAAATGCTGACAAACTAACTGTATACTAAAAGAATCGTATGTCTTTAAGAGTCCTACTCTTCCTCTGTCCTGCTACGATGCAGGGCTTGCTGGTGTCCATGCAGGGCATCTCCACACAGTTCTCCAGTCGCCCACTGGGACCACAGCTGCACACCTC